ATGAAAAATTTATGGTATTATAGGACTATTGGGGCAGCAGAGAAAGCAGTCAAATAAAGAGTATCTAAATGATTGTTAATACAAGGATGAAGCTTAATGTAAACATGAAAATTAATGTCTACAAATGAAGATCATAGAAAATCTAGTAATAGCAATATTAGCTGATGATGATAAACTACCAACAAAAAATGTAAAAGTGGAGAGAATGAGGTGGAGAAATTAAAGGTAAGCAAAATTCTTTATAAATGTAGTTGGGCTCAACAGACTCAAATAATTAGAAAAAGTAAAATATTTTTATAATAAATCTGGAGGTATAGCTTTAAATTAAAATAAGATGTGTATCTTTCTGATCACTAGAAGAAAATATATACATTAAAAGCTATTAGAACTACAAGGAGACTGTGGAAGGATAAATTTATAGTAGCAATTATGTATGAAATATGTTAAATAATATGATCAAACATATATGTTAATATATTTAAAGCATTACCCATGGAACACATACAAGACTAATATATATTAATTCATAAAAAACTTAATAGATTCCAAAAGGCAGATATTCTGCAAGTTAACTTTTTTTTTAATCCAGTGCAATTAACTAGAATAAATAATTAACAATTCAATATACGAAACACCTAGAAATTTTGGGATATTCTCTATAGAACCAAAGGAAGACAAAACTAGAAATATGACTATTCAGGAAGTTACAGCAAAGGGGGAGAACCACAAATAGGAGATTAGAATTTTAAACAAATCACTATGTATGATTGATGCTAACACATTTAAAATCTTGATTAATGCATGGTTTCCTAGAAAAATACAAATGATATTGAAAAATAAAGAATGAACCCAAAGTTTCTGATTGGCAATCTGATGGACAATTCACTGAGAATTGCATGGGCTTGGGGTATCTTGAATGGAAAGAGTCTATGGGCTGTCCACATGGAAATTTCCAGCCAATACTTGGATGGATAAGGCTAAATCTTGGGCAAACTGTCTGGACTGGAGATAAAGACTTGTGATAGCATGTAGCTTGACATGGAAATCATGGGGGCACTGATGAGGTTGCCGAGGAGAAACTATAGCGAAGCAGAAGACTGTTGCCTTGGCAACAAATGTGAGGAACGTTAGCATTTGCAAGATGTCCTGAAGAAGAGCGGTCCTCTAAGCAGGCTGAGATGGCATGGCCAGAGAGGTGGAAGGGAAACAGGGCAGTGTGCATTTAGGAAAGCCAATGGCTGGAAGTATTTCCAGTGTCAAATGCTAACGTGAGTTTAAGATAACTTAAAGGAAAAGTTCCTCTTGGTTTGGCTAAAATGTTTTTGGTAACCTTAACAAGAGCAATTTCGCTGGGGTTCTTTGAAACTTTTAGTCAAGAGGTAATATCCATGCTGTACAGGTTCTTTAGAGCATAGGATAAAATATAGAAAGCTTCTCAATTTATTTTTCAAACCTGTTATAAAATAAAAATCAATTAGAAGCTGTATAACACCATACACACGATCCCAGTGACTAATATGGACTCATAAATTCCTAACAACAATAATAACTACCACTTGTTGAGTGTACACTATGTGCCAGACACTATTTTCAATAACCGAATCCTCATACCAGTAGTCTTAAGAAAATATTTGAATTCAGACATATATTAAACAAATTATATATATATATATATATATATATATATATATCCCACCTGTGACTAAACATTTAATTGTGAAATATTGGGAAATCTTTTATACAATACAATATAAATTGGTGAAAGGAGAAAATTCATATGATTGTAATTTTCTGAAATTCTAACAAGTCGAAAAAAATCCTTATTGAAGCATAATAATTAATATCTATCTCAAATAGCCAACAACGCATTTGGTAGTGAAATGTTAGTGTCATTTCGATTTAGAGGAAATCAAGCAAGAATATTCTGTTTGGGAAGTTTTAGCCAATGTAGGAATGGAATTGAAAGAACTAAATGAGATTAATATACCTATCAAAAGGAGACAAATGATCATTACATGTAGATGCTATTAATGTACAAGCTTAAGAATGAGCAGAAAAGAATTATGACAACTGTCTGGGGTTTGGTTACAAAATAATAGACAGCTACAACTGGTTAAGATCTTTTATGTGCCAAGACCTGTGCTGGAGGCATTATATAAATTGTTTCATTTAATTTTGACAACAAACTCATGAGATGGCTTTTAAACAGGAGCTCTCAGAAATTAATAGCAGAGCTAGAAACCAAACCCCAGATCTGCTTGACTCTAAAGCTGATTCTCTTCATGACATATCATTTATTGCCACCTACTACTCTGCCTGCACAGACATATAAAAACCTAGGTACCCTTGAAACTAATTTAAAAAAAAAGTAAAAAAATACAACAACCCAACCTAGGGTGTTTCTAGGTGCTAGGAAAACTCTTGGGAATAATCATATTCACAATTAAAATAAGAAGAAGTTATTTTGAAATACATAGCAAAAACATAAAAATGAACAACAACAAAAATGTCACCTATATGATGGGCAGTGCTTGTGTTCGTTTTACTAGTGGCCTAAAGAAGAATTCATATATGCCTACTGCGCTATGCACCTGAAGCTGAAGCTGAATAATATTGAATGTCAACTATAATTTTATGTATATATATATATATATATATATATTCACAGGATGTGGAATACAGCATAAGCAATAGAATCAGTGGAACTGTAACAGCTATATACGATGTCAGAGGTAGTAGATTGGGGGAGGGGGATTATCACTTTGTGAGGGGTGTAAATGTCTAACTATTACATTGTTTTGTACACCTGAAGCTAATAATAAAAAAGGAAGAATTCATATATATATATATGAATATGTATACACAAACACATGCCGTGTGTGTGTGTGTGTGTGTGTGTGTGTGTGTGTGTGTCTACTTACTAGATTTTGGAGTTGGGATGGTCTTTCTACATATATATAGTACCTAAGGACAAACTGGGATATGATATGGCAACATGGTGACAGAGAGTTAAAAATATTAATATATAAAGTAATTTTACAAGTAAAAAAGGAAAATATTAATCCCCAATAGAAAAAAGGGCAGAAACTATTAATAAGCAATTCATAAAAGAGGACATTAAAATCATCAGTAAGTACAAAAAAACAATTTTCAACCTCACTGATGAATAAAGTTAATGTAAGTTAAAATGACCATGTGCATTGCTGAAGGGAATATAAATTTGTACATTCTTCTGAGGAGTGATTAGACAGTATGTGTGAAAAGCCTTAAATATAATCATAATTTTTGGTCCAGTAATTCTAATTCTTGGAATTTTCCAATTGAAATAATTAAAGTTAAACGCAAAGGATAATTATTGCTCTGATTTTTATAATGTGAGAAATTAGGATCATGTTAAATACCAAACATTAGGAAGCCATTTAAATAAATTATAGGCCATGTCATGGAAAAATATGCAGGAATTTTAAATAATGTTATAAAAGAATATTTAACAACCTGGGGAAAAGTTTGATGTATTTTAAATGGATTAAAAAGTAGGTTGTGTAACAGTGTGAATAGTATGTCTTTGAATAATTTTAAGTATGTGTGTGTGCGTTAAATCTGGAAGGCTATAAGCAAAAATGTTAACTCAGATCATCTCTAAAATGGGTAGTTTTATTTTTACTTCTATATTTAAAATTTTTATATTTTGTAAATAAAAGGTGTTGTTTTCTTAGGATAATAGCAACATATATTCATAAAACAAAAATGCAAAAAGGAAGATTAAAAAGAAAATACATCTCCTGTGCTTACTGCTGCCTCATGGGAGTGCAGTAATTATTATTTCACTTTTTGTATCTTTTTCCTTTACTTTGACCATGCATTAATTTTAAAACCATAAAATTTAAACCACAAACTTAAAAAGTAAAGGAAGAGAGGAAGAAGGAGAAAGGAGAAAGGAATCAACTCTGCAAACTCCTTAGTATAGTAGAAATGCTGAAGTAGGTCATTCATTCATTCATTTATTCACTCCTCACTCACTCAGTCACGCACTTTACAATTGTTGACACGAAGTGCTTGCTACGTGCCAGGCACTGTCCTCAACAGTGGAAACACAGTGGCAAAGCAAAACAAGCGTGACTTCCGCTCCTGTGGAACTTACAGTATATGGTGAAGACTGACATTAAACAAATGTGCATGCAATGAAATATAATTGGAAATTCTGAAAGTGTATTATGCATAGCAACAGGGTTTTATGAGAATAAACTCACAGAAGATATATATAT